TGTGTTTTATTCTTAGAACATACAGATGAGTTCTGCATCTGAAATCTAGGACACAGTTCTGAGCTGTGCGTCTAGCTCCTGAGCGTATTGAATTGAAGAGACTATTGACTTGCAGTCTTTTTTGTTATAGTGTTTGCTGTGACGCCACTGTTTTCACACATGGCTGCAGTTCAAGGTGAATCTAGAGATGTCAAACCTGCCATACACCTGCATTGTATAATAAGACATTTTACCAATCATAGTAATATCCTCTAGTGGAATAAAAAAGAAGTGTAGGTACAAAACATGCAAAATAAGGTAAATAAATACAATAGATATGGTATAAAAGGATAAATCTCATAAATAAAACCACGTCTCAAATGAATAAAACTGTAAACACCTGATCTCTGAAATAATATAAAATATCTCAACATGAATCAACTGGAAATGTAACTAAGACTCATAGCCTTTACAAAATAAAACACAACTCAAATAACTGAATAGAAACATAAATCTACTGTAAAGCCTCTATTGATAACTCATGCGATGGCGACTATGCAAGAAATCCGTCATCTTGCGGATCTTCGAAACTTTGAGCTGTCTGAAAAGAAATTTTAAAATAAAAAGAACAATAATAAGAGCGTCAAAGTGTTACAGCAAGATCACCTCCATCCGTCTCCAGGAGAAGGGCTGCCAGATGAAGTGAAGGCTTTACCTATTAAACATAGTCTACCTAGATCATTTTCCCCGTATCTAATAGAGTTAATATTTAGACACCAACAAGAGGAGACGTAGTACGTCGAGCGAAATAATCCAAACAAGGAAACCCTTATGTATATACCATATGTCTCAAATTATAGACGCCTAAACATTAACATCGAATTAGAGATAAACAATCTAAATAAAATCAATAATTAGAAACCCACAACATGAGGCTGATATGTCGAGCGAAATAATCCAAACAAGGAAACCCTCATGTATATACCATATGTCTCAAAGTGTGAATCGCTAATCATTGATCCCAACCTAAGAATAAAATAAAGCAATATAGAAAGTAAAGACATTCATAATATCATATTTATAATATATTCCGCTATCATTAGGAAGATAAGATAAATATCAGCATATAACCTCGCGTACTTTCAAGGGTAAAGTACATTGGTCATATATCTTAGCAATGAGTCATATACATAACTGGCATCCGCCAAAGACTCATGCTATCAACGATCATCTTAATGAAATCCTTGCAAGATTCTGATTCATCGCATCATCATGCGGGATGGACAACCCGATCGGTATCTTAACAGTATACACGACTCATTAGTCTCATCGCATCTCTGTACGTAACACAAGTGCGGGACGGACTACCAAGTAGGCATCCTAGAAATACGGCTCACAAGCCTCATCGCACCCTAGTGCGGGACAGACTGCTAGATAAAGCATCCTAAACCCGACTCAATGGCCTGTACTAATGGTATATCGACGTACTACTCCACGTAATACTGAGCGATGCTCATCAACGATATCCAACATGTATATAAATGTGTAATTGAC